GACGGTTAACCAGTGCAACCAATTATTACAAGGAGAACTTAAGATAAATGCTTTGCTTGCTCTTTACAGAACAGTGGTTTGCAGTTTGTGGCTTTAGTAATGATTTAATTCATTTAACATTTATATTGTAGGTAAATTGCAGTATTGTTCACTTTTTTATTAAAATTGATTATTTGGCATGTCATGAGATGTTTCAGTTTAATTTTTTTATCCTGAAAACCTCCAACTTTTAGCTGTTCTATAATCTAGAAAATGCTATTCCTATTTAAAAATGTGAAGGAAATTGAACTTCAAGTTTCTAGGTTTAAAAAAAAAAAACATGCAGCCTTTCATTAAGTTCAACTGCATGTAGCATTCAATTACCTAACACCTCAGGCTCAGTATAGTAATCTGAGCAATGTGAATCGTGTTTGTCAGTTTCTTCTTTTTGCATCACTTATCCAGTCATTCCAGCTGTTGGCCAACAAAGTACAGTGCTAGCTCAGGACAAAGGCCTCCTGTTGTGATGAGGGTGACTGCTTTGTCTGGGTTCTCTGATTGTTGTGTCCACAGTGGCTGGCAGGCTGTTGACCTTCCTTTGTGCTGGCTGTTTTCCCTCTTAACCGAAAACATAAATCTCCTTTTTTTTTTTTCTCTTGAGGGTTCAGCCGACTAAAAAAATCCCAGGAGTGTTCTTATTAGAACATACAGGAGCGGACTTGTGGTCTAAAAAAATAATTGGACGAGAGTGTGGTGGTGAGGGGGTTGCGTTTCGGCAGAGAGGATGTGCGTGTGTGCAGACGGTTTGCAGGGTCATGGAGTCTTCTTGGCGACCAGATTTTAAAGAAGCATTTCCTCTCTGTGTTGCCAGCAATGCATTGCTGACACCAGGAAATACTTGTCATGTGGTGGTGCTGGGGCAGTAGAAAGGGGAGCAGGGGGGAGTGTGGATGCAGGAGGAGGAGTGGAGGAACTGAAATAAAAGCAGGGTGAAGCTGTCAGCTGCAGGAAGTTCAGAACATTATTTAGTTGACCTTCCCTATAGCAGCCCCTCGTATAGTAGACATTCATCGGCAGCCAGGAGGTGCGCGTTTCTGGAGATGCTCCAGGGTGTGGACCCTTGTTTCGTGGAAAGGAACGAGATCGTGAAAGTGGACGAGATCATTTCCTTGGCAGAAATGTCGTACATTCCTACACTTCACAAGACAAATATTGCAAAAACTTGCGGTGAGCCCAGACTTCAGAAATAACTCGTCTCGGAAACATTTGGTTTATTTTGAGATGGTTACAGAATGATTATAGCTGGGCTGTTTACCTCCCTCCTGTTTCATTCCAGTTGCGTTGCCCTTTTCACTTACAGCTCCTAACTCCTCCAGCCAGAAAGACATCCAATTACAGAGCTAAACTGCCACTTGTTTTTTAGCTTGATTGCAGTGACTCAGTCGCTGTGTGATTATTAACGAGACGTATAAAGACTTTACTGACGTTGCCTGTGGAAAATACTGTCACCGAGGGAGTCCTGTGGGAGTCTGGAGCAAGCAACACAGTCATGCTATCGAAGATGACTCCCTGGCTTCTCTTAAGAAAAGGCTAGCTGCTAAAAAACAATCACACTAGACAGGAAAGACTACAAAGGAAAGGCCATTCAGTGGTATTCACTGACCTGTTTGTCAAAGTGATCTAACAGGAGCACACGAAATATGAATTTACAGAAATTAAGAATGTACATTGGTAGAGTTGATGTAACTTCGGGCTTCATCAAAGCACTCGGCCCAGATCAAGTAAGAATAGCATTTTTCCCCTTTATATACCTTTGTGCTGCTCATCTCCTCACCCCTGAAATAAACTAGCTATTTCATAACCTAATACCTTATTCATGTCTGTGTTACATACCCTACTGTTTAGTTGGGTCCTTTTTTTTCTAAAAAACAGAACCTACATCTGCACCGAATATGCATAGTCTGTCCCTTTCATAGACACCTAGAAATATGGTGAGTGAGTGCCGCCCTTACCAATATGGCATCACCTCATCCAAGATGGTGGTACCCAGGAGCCCTGTATCGAGCCAAGGCAGGTAAGATGTTACATGAAACAATCAAAAGAAGCTGTAACACATACAGTAATTATATTACTTTACTACTATGTGTCTCATTTTATTCTTCAAGTCTAGCTGTACGGGATAAGAGTTTCAAACTTCTTTTACAAGTGTCAGCCCATTTCTGAAGAGATATGCACCTCTTGCTTGAAATGGTGCCTGTGTGCAGCATTTCAGTGTTTTTGTTCTCCTAGAGCACCAACAGGTGTTACGTTTCATTAGAAGTGTTACCTTTTTGGGTCAAAAAGTACAAACGTACAAGGATATGTTTTATTTTTAAATGGGGAAAAATGCACGCTGCAGGCCTTTTCTAGTCTTAACATCAGTCGCTGAAGCTTCGCCCTGCGGTGTGGAAGAAAATGTCCCTGTCCTTGATCTGTCCGCGAAGATTAGTGCTGCTGGTGAAATGGAACAAAACCATCGGAACGCTAAGACTTGATGTCCTTCATTCCTTCACTAATCTGGTTCTTATTGATTCTCTTCTTCAGATAAGTTGTTTAGAAAGTTGTAGAAATCCATCCTTTGCTAAGCATGGGATCTTGCCAGATCTAACCAATGTAGAAAAGCTAAAGCAGCTGTTTAAGGGAGTGACTGGATGTCTGTGATGATTTATATGACTGTAACTGCCCCGTTTGTGGTTTCCACCATGGCATTTACTCCCCAGTTGTTCATGGATTACAGAATAACTTTTTTTACGTTATTGAAATTAAAGATGTTTATTAAGTGTTCATTTATTAAAAGGGAATTTTATTTTTAAAAATAAGGTTGCCGGTTCAAATCCCACGGCCAGCTGAGGAATCCTGCTCCGTTGGGCCCCTGAGCAAGGCCCTTAACCCCAGCTGCTCCAGGGGCGCTGTACAATGGCTGACCCTGCGCTCTGACCCCCAGCTTCTCTCCCTGTCTGTGTGTCTGTGTCTCATGGAGAGCAAGCTGGGGTCTGTGAAAAAACGATTTTCTGATGCAAGAAATTGTATAGGGCTAATAAAGTGGTTATTTTAGGTTCTTTATCGTTCTGCAGAGTACATGGACAGAAGATTTATTATGCTTCTTAATATTTGTTTTATGATCTGTGTCATTAGATTCTGAACTGCCCTGTCACCCAATATTCTGAAAATATATACTATTTTATAGAATGTATCCCAGAAAGAGAAATGATTTCAGGAACCTCTGACAGGTTTATCCTCTAACCTAGGGAGTTAGGTCATAGCCTGTATAAGTATTGCTTAAAAAATGTGATCCAAGTAGGACAGGTGTGGAGAGACATGTAGAGACCTGAGCAGTTTGGCCGGTACCTGTCCCACTGTCATGGATACTCTAGTTGTTCACAATTATTGGATATGACATGTGGAAATGTTTGGAAGATTATTTTTTTTTGGAAGATTCATCATGTTAACCATAACTATCGAAACCAGGGATTGTGCTGATGTGGCTTCTAACTAAGCTGAAAAAATGTTTTTGCCTGTCTGATAGACTGAATGTTTGTAAAATCATTATCTTCCAAACAAACCAAACTCCAGCAGACTCCTAAGGCAAGTTCTGTGTGAATAATGAATTGTTCCTGTATTTTAATTGTACTCTTGGTGTGGCAGCAGCTTGGCAGTTCTTGAAGTAGGAAGTGGCCCATACTATACTAATGAGCATGAAGCCCAATCTTCTGTATCTAACACAACACACTCCTTCCTAGAGCCCACTGTTTGCCGGGTTAGGTTCTGACTCACCACGACCATGCATTGGTCTAAGTAGATATTGAAAATGGATGGATATACTTTTGAAAGGTCTGACACTTGGGTTTTGGTATAACTATGGAATGGCTTGTCTGGTACATTTATCATCAATATTAAAACTTCCTAAATCTGCACCTGTTCATTGGGAATCTCCTCATTGACCTAGTACGCAGTGCAAGAAAAAAAGTAAAAATGTCCATATGCTGAATCAGGCAAGAGATGAATGAAGCGTGAAGTGCCAGCATTTGTCAGTGGGTTTAAAATTCCCAAGGCGAAAAGGTAGCTGGAAACAGTTAGGTTTTTTGCTTGACCAATATCAAAGTCGTCTTAACAACTTAAGGGATTTGGTTTGTGAATGTTTGTGTCCAGTGTAATTTTTGTAAAGTGCTGGATGGGTGAAACCGTGAGTTTCCTGTTGACCAGAATGATAGTTTCTTTTGTGTTTCTGTGTCTAATAGAAGTCTCAGGGCTGGAACTGTGCTCAGTTTACCCCCTTGCAGTGCTGTTTGGGATAGATGCACTCCTCTTCCTTGGGGACTGTGGTGGAAAGGCCCTTTTCAGAGAGCAGGCCATTTCCCGAGAAGAGCTAACCCTGCCGGAGTCAGCAGTCTTGTTTCCAGCTGACGGCTGAGTTTGGGAATGAAGTCACCCCCAACCCCCCCCTGCAATCCTGTCATTTTAAACAGTTGTAATCTTCGCACAGCGCTGCTCCTTCTGCCGACCCCTGAGACGCATCGTCAAGAGCTGTGACTTCCAGCTCAACAAGAAACGGATGAGGCCCGTGTCTGGGGCCTGTCAGACGCACTCGATAAGGGGCTGCTGCGTTTCTCAGCCCCGGCAGCTGCTCTGGGATGTACTGTAGTGTGGGTAGACGATGAGGACAAACAGCGGCTTTATCAGCCTGGGGCCAGCTGCTGCCAGTCAGCATGGAGGTTGTTTTCCTTGGGTTTCACTGGGGGCTGTGATGCAAGCTAATTACATCTTGTCCCATTACATTTGTTTTAGATGTAAATGTGTTCGTGCCTACTTGTCCGGATTCAAAAGCTTCCGTTTTGACCACTGTGCCCAGAAAGGAATGTAGTTGCCGTGTATGGTTTGCGGCGGGGGCCGAGTCTTTCCTTGCCCCTTGACCCGGAAATGAACGACGTCCGGGATCCGGCTGCGGATCGGCCGCCCTTCAGCGCTGTCCGTTGACCCTGCAGGTCACGGGGAGTGCTTCTGCGGGGAGTGCAAGTGCCACGCGGGCTACATCGGCGACAACTGCAACTGCTCGACGGAGACGGACTCGTGCCTGTCGGACGCGGGGCAGATCTGCAGCGGCAGGGGGAGCTGCGTCTGCGGGAAGTGCCAGTGCAGCGAGCCGGGGGCCTTCGGGGACGCGTGCGAAAAGTGCCCCACCTGCCCCGACGCCTGCGGCACGAAACGGTACGTGGGACCGGCGGCCGCGAGTGCAGAGTTCAGCCGGCACTCTTTACATCCCGTTTTTCACGCCGCATGAACCTTTTGACATGTTTGCTTTCTGTAAGATTGCCGTTTTGTAAAGATGTTCTGGCACATATTTGCCTACGTTATTTTTATGTGCATATTTGCACATATTGCTACGTGCATAAAAGTCCATCAATTTACATTCCGGGTGCCTGGATATTCTACTGCCAAGTGTTGGGTTTGCGTTGGCTGGCAAATGCTTTGTTTTCTGAAAATATTCACTGACACCTCCCCATTTCTAAACTAAAAATAATAATCATGATTTGCTTTCTGGCGGTGCAAAACGCTTTTAAGTTTTGGGGAGAACGCGTTTTCCTGTGATCGTCTGACTTGGCCAGATTTACTGGAAATACACGGGTGAGCGCTGTGGTAACTGGACTGTACTTTGAAAAGGAAATGAATGTACTCCTCAGAGTAAAGACGCCTTACCTTGTGAGCAGCTATCCTGTCAGAACGGAGAAGGCCAGGAGTTGTATGTTTGGATGATGGGCAGAAATTAGAGCACCTGGGGGGAACCTACCTAAATAGGGGGGTGAGGTGCAGTCTCCAAGATGTCAGTGGTCCCGATCGAGCCCAAGACTCTGGCTCTGTGTGGCCGCACTGCTCACCTGGCCCCTGCGATACCCATAATGCATTACCCGTAGAGTAAGAGAACACGTTTCAGGCGGCTTTGTGGGATTTGATTTCCAGGGAGTGCATTGAGTGCCGCCTGTTTAACTCTGGAAGACTTGCTGACAACCAGACCTGTGAAAGGGTATGCAAGGATAAGATCACGACTGTAGACACTCTTGGTGAGTACTGGCTAATGATTTTCAGAAAAGGGAAAGAGCACGTAATGTTTTTTTTTTCCCTCATCTCGAGGGATTATGAAGCACTGTACATTTTGGCCCCTGTTTTGGATAGAACCAGCGAAGGGGCCAAGAAATCAAGAGGCTGATTGCGTTACGATTCTTGGCTGAAGTTTTGCTAAAACCAATTTGTCTTGTCTATATAAATATATAAGCCGTTTGTAGAGGTAATTGAGAAGTAATATTCCATTTGTATTTTCTCCAGAACTCAAGAGTTGCATCAGATAGATGCAAATCGGGTTACCACAGATAAAGCTAATATAATACTATACTGTATCTCCTTTTTAAGATAAAACATCAGCTGAGCTATTTGGTTTTGCAACCAAGGGTAGGGACACACAGCTGGGCTTTTCTCTTTTAAATTACTCCAATTACATCTGAGTGTTTTGAGGCACGCAGAGTGGTGTGTAATGATTGAAGCTAGGAGGGCTTCAGTCGACCTTTTTTATTGGCGTTCATTACAATAACCAAGTTCAACATTCAAGCCTGTATGGACTGTAGTTTGAAACAAGGTTAAAGGTTAAAGATTAAACAAGGTTAAAGATTAGGCATTCTATTAAGGTTTGATAGATTGCTAATTTTCATTTGGGAGAAAAGTTTCTGAAAGAGTACTGTGTGACCAATACTGTTTTATCTTTAAACAAAAATGGACAAAACTAATCTAGTTCATGGAAGCCAAGTACTGTTAATGTTGACAGTTGATCTTTAATACTATTGAAGTGTTAACCAGTAGCAAGATAGATTCCACCAAAACAATGTATAGTCTTTACTATTTAACGACTGCCTGTAATACAGATAAGCTCAATAACACCAGGCTCAACCATGTTTCAGTAATACTTAGGCATTGATTCAATTTTCTAGGACCATATTTCAGCAGCAAAAAATGCTCATAGACCTGGGATTTTCTTACAAGCCTTAAGGAATGTATAATCTCATTTTTTATGGAAACAGAAAAATACAGTGAAAAAAACATTGTGGTCAATGCGTGCTCATGAAGCATTGCTTTAATTCCTTTGAGAACAGCGCGGTGCGCACCTCCATCCCAAAAGCAAGTTCACAAGAGTGCCTTTTCATAACTTTCTGCTATTTTAGACATCTGACTGTTTTAATGGGCTCCACATGTACATTCTGGAAACTTCACACTTTAAGAATAGGGGGTGGAGGTCTAGTTCCTGGAGGAATTCAAAATGGCACAAAAGAAAAATGAGCAGAATTGGAGAGTTTTTTCCTCCAGATAGCGGAAGGTAATCATTAATACAAGGATGACTTCATTGTAATATGGCTTATGTAACACCAAGTGAACTACAGAGCATCTGAGGCCAGTGAATTTACATTTTTCACAGTGTTTGTTTTTTGGTAGAACCACTTCAGGGTTTTTTGCCTAGTTTTCTCATGATGACAACCCCCAGGTTCTGCTGACCCTTTCAGTTTCACTGAGAGCTCAGTGTGTTGTGGTTTCCTTCTTTTTTGCAGAAACGGAAAACCCAAATGCAGTACTTTGCCTGTATAAAACTGAAAATGACTGTGTTATGAAGTTCACGTACTCTGAACATGCCAGCGGCCATTCAATCCTGGAAGCACTGAAGGAGCCAGGTCAGTATCTGAGGAGACGAAGGCTGTCGTAGGATAAGCACTGGTTAAATCGCAACTATCCTGGTGACCTTGTACACAGGGGTATACGTTGAATAGCTGGATGTTTGAGACCTTGAAACATCAATCCCCAAATATTTTTATATACTGAAATCTAAAAGTAGAAAGTAGTAAAACTGCTTGCTGCTACTGCCACCTTCTTGTAGCCTGGACTTTTTTTAAATGTGTTTTAGAAAACCTCTTTCAAACACTTTGTATTTGCAGTGCGCTCTGATTAAATTCACATTGTTGGCCTGTAGTCCTGGAGGATATAAGTAATGCATTTTAGTCCTTGTGCTTACTGAAATACACTTCTCATGTGCATTCAACCATAGTACTATACTGTGAAGCCAGAGCAAAAGAGCTTGTGAATTTGTGATGGGCTTTATTAGAAGCCTATAGCAATTGTAAGGATTTTTCTTTCTGTAATTTTATTTCAAATTGCTCCTGGTCAAACGTCCTGTAGCCGATTGCTTCTAAACCTGGTCTGTCCTCAGAGTGACAAGGGGGGAGGGGAAACTCTGCTCCTGAGTCAAACATTGGCAGCCTGGCGTGTTTTTTTTGGAAACACAGCCACTTCTCTTGCAGCGTTGAGAACCAATAAACCAAATCAAATTCAAACCTGGAAAATGTTTTAATTATCCAAAGCCAAATCAGATGTCCTCAGCATACAGTAAGTTGCAGCTGAACTTCAAACTGCTTCTGTTCAAGGACTGTTTAGCCTTTTCGCTTCAAGCGCGGCATATATCATCCTGTGGAAAATGCAATTAAAATATGGCAAAATGGATTTAACCAGGATGGTCTGTCATTTGCTTTCTCTAATTTCATATGGTTTCAGCTGAAAACTATTTTAGGCAATTCGCTGGAAACTTGGAAGGTATCCTTCTCGTGTTAGTACAAGTACATGTTTCAAAAAATATTTCTGCGTAAACTAAGACGAACCCTTAGCCTATATATTCGTCTCGAATTCCAAACCACAGCAGTTGAAGAATGGTTTGGATGATTAATTCCAAACTTGACAGGCATCATCCCTGGAACAATATATTTCATGTTTTTAGTATAGCCTTTCTCCATAAATCAGCTATTTGACTTATGTTCTCAAGTTTCAAAACGCTGGTTTTAGGTAGTCAGTAATGCAGTAAGCATAACTGCTGTCATGGAGTGAAAATGCCTTTTCATTGTGAACCAAGACAAGGACATGACCGAGTCGGTCTTCGTGCGTTTCAAGCAGCTTGTATGTAAAAATAATCCTTCACCTTCACACAAGTCTTCTTGTCTGTCTTATACTGTACCTTGCAAAAGTATTCAGACCCATCCTGTAAAATTGCAAAATAATTCACACAGAGTTTGACAGTTTTATTAAAAACCTAAATGCTAGAACTGAAGTCTTCTAAGGGTAAGTATCTTGCACTCCTCAAGCTTGTGCTCCCTCAAGTATAACTTTAATTGGTACTTCGAAGTGTCATGACTTTTGTAGCGTCATGCAGTTTTCACATTTTGTCACTTGAGAACCTGTAGAGTCTGAATACTTTTCCAACACACTGTACATATACATGTGTATTACAATAATGCAACAGATATGCTACCCAAGAGGTATTTTTTTATGGAATTCAACTTTAGTTTTAAAAGTAATAATACATGATCTTCAGCTAAAATTTTCCCCAGCTTTGCTTTTTTGTCATTGTGTGCAATTTCAAGAACAAGTCTTGAAAAAGTTTATTCATGTGCAAAACAAGATGGCTGTAATTATTATAAAAAACCCTGTTTTTTAAAGATCACTTAATTCCAGTGTTTCGTCATGTAAGGGTTTTAGTCAGACCCTGGTTTTGTTGTCTTTAAATGACAGACAAGCCTACAGTATATACAGTAGTTTCAAATGCCGAAATCCATGGCACATAGAGATTGCATGCAGTCTCAGTACCCGTTGAAGACATGGCTGTGCGTTTGACTTTTGCAGAGTGTGGTGCTGCTCCCGATGCCCTGACTGTGCTGCTGGCTGTCGTTGGAAGCATCCTACTGGTTGGCCTTGGGCTGCTGGTGATCTGGAAGCTGGTTATCACGATCCATGACCGGATGGAGTTTGCAAGGTTTCAGAGTGCCCGCTCCAGGGCCAGATATGAAATGGTAAGTAAGCAGTGTGGTGGTCTTTCCTTAGGCAATCCTAAATCCTGACATTCTGGGGGAACCAATGAGACCCATGTGGTCCACGTAGTTACAAGACGTTATTGATCCAAGGATGCCATCCAGCTGTTTGCCCGACGGTATCTCAGGAAAATTAGCTTCAACAATACGGATGGGCAGTTTGTTCCGTATCCTCATAACCCGTCTCATAAAGAAGGGCCTCCCCTTTTCAGTTCCAGATTCACTTCCCTTGTTTCCCATTTATGTTTTGGTCCTGAAGTATCCATCTGGGTTGAACATACCAGTACCTTCCAGGATCTGAAACACCTGTATACAGTCCACTAATAGGGCTTCAGCCACCTGAGGCGCTTCATGTATTCTAACGCAAGGCATTGTCCATCTTCCTCTCATAGGCTTCCAACCCTCTGTACAAGCAGCCGATCTCTAGCCACACAGTGGAGACCGTGTTCAACATGCGGAGCAGGTTCTGCAATGGAGCAGTCCACTGATGCCTTGGGACGAGGGGAGAAAAGCCACGAGCCTGGATTAACAAGAAGGCGATGGCAGTGCAATATTGACCAGCAGATGCATTAATCTGCACATGGAGATCCACTGAGCAATGAGAAATCAAGAACTTCTGTTGCCCACAAAATGAGAACTTGCGACTTACGAGCAATTTTCCACAGTGACAATTTAAGTGGTGACCAGCGAGACACTTAATGACTGTTTTAGTTTCAGCAGCAGATGATTGCTGTTTGCTGTGCTGCCTTCCTATAGCCAGCTAGACCAGAATGGGGAACGAGAGTTCAAGCGATGGACTTACTTGGTGATATGTGGGGAAAACCGCACATGTGTATGAGATTTTCATAAAACGTCTTCACATTTTTAAATAACAGGATTGTTGACTGAACTGTGGGGGAGCACATTCACTGCTAATAGCAGTATTAATTCTCTTGCCAATTATACATCAAATGTAACTTTAAATACACTTTGGAATTAATATGACTTGTACAGTTATTTTGTATATATATTTTTTTAGCTTTGATGACGCCGTCCCATGCAAGAGGACAAAAACTTTGCATTTTTCCTTAACAAAAAATTGCATGCAAACACCTTAACACCAGAAACCCTGAAGTTTGATAGACCTATAAAAAGGCTATCCTTTATATTGCTGCTTTTGCCAGCATTATGGTACTAATGTAGAGAATTTCTCATTCTGACTTTGTTTTGCACACTATGATATCAAGAAGGAATCTGTGGTTAAAGCAGTGAGGGCTTTTACTTCAGTATTTTAGACAAGAAGTTCAATATGTGTTTTGTTTAATTGGTAACCTGCTGTGCTCTGTATGATTCACTTTTCTTAATTGTGCTTTGTGTACATTATACATAAAATGTATACATTATACATTTCTGATTTCTGAAATCAGAAAGCGGCAGTGTGGGACATGGACTTGTTGTCACAAGGTTGGTTATATGACGTTGCCAATGTCCTGGAGCAGAGCCCTATGCTTTTTAAAAAAAATAAGTGCAATTGATAATTAAGTTGGGATAATGAGTCAAGAAAATTGCTTGGAACATGCAAAATATAAGATATCCATAAATTCAGAGATGAAATTGTGGGGAAAATGCAGACAATATAAAGTGTTTAATACGAATACTTGCGGCACAAAGATTTTAATCTTTGGAGTATGGCTTAATGATTGATGTGGTATTGTGCGTGTAAGTGCGCGCATGTTCACCCTGCCAAACGCACTGAACGTCGGATATTAAAAATACCTGCAGCATTGCCTTATCTCTGCCTTATCTCTGCCTGGGTGTCTTCCTGCATTGCTGGGAACCAGCTTAGTAATGGAGTGTCATAGTGCAAGATCCTTTCTTCCAAACATAAACCCTTCTTTTGCTTTGCTTTATTACTGACATATTGGGGATGTAGTCTGTTGATAAGGCGCTATAAAAGACCCTTTTGTGTTTAAAGTTAAAATGCGGAGCTGATGTATTACCTTTTATTAAATGATGTTGCTCTTAAGTATGGTGTGCAGACCTTCTATGGAAAATGAAGTTCAGTTATGGTTCAAAGAATTAAATGAAAATACAGAAAGCTCGTAAAGTTTTGTGGGTTATTATTGTGATGTCCTTCCCTGGCACTGAAACTTAGTGCAGCCAGAGTTCTGTTGTACTCCGAAGTGCTCATGCTATTTGTTACATGTCTTTAGGATAAATGAATTGCTTATTTTTGCGTTACTAAATGCCTGTGCTTGTTCTCTTCAAAACTCAAGTTCGGCTTTAAAGTAGCAGCTGCTGGTAAGTAATGTGTTCCAGATTTGAGCTTTTCTCAACTCTGTAAGGGGTCTTGAAACCAGATCCTCCTTTGATTCTCTCATTAACACTTCTGATTTACTTATTGTGTTTCAACAGGAGCGTATTCCATAGCCCTTCTGGAAAGATGATTTCCTTGCAAGACTCATTTTAGTGCTGGGTGAGTTTGACTGCAGGAACCTTCAAGTTCTTATTTCAAGGTCCCACATTTCAGTTCTGCACATAGATAATACATAATTAAATCAAGCTTTTTTTTCTTTGAAAGCCCAGTTTAAAATAAGTTAGAAGCTCTCAAGTTTGAACTGAAATTAGACAAGTGAAATTTCATTCTTGTGAAAAGGTGTCACAAGCCTAGCTAACCCATCTTCTGACAAGGAAGAAAAGTGTTCTTTTCAATTGATGGATTAAAGATTTTGTGCTGTTTATTTTAAGGTATGTTATCAGTATGTAATGCTGCTTAGATATTTTAACCTTGATATACATTAACCTTGATGTTAAACTCACAAAAAGCTTAGAAACTGTAATCTATACTTCAGCATCTAATTTAAGTCACAGGCCGGATGTCCATAAACCCCTTTAACTTGAAAAGAGTAGGGGTGTACCCCAGGCATCCTGGCCAAATTTCCCCATTGGCCTTTATCAATCATGGCCTCCTAACAATCCCCCTCTATAAATTGGTTTCATTACTCTGTTCTCCTCCCCACCGAAAGCTGATGTGTGGTGAGCGTTCTGGCGCACTATGGCTGCCGTCACATCATCCAGGTGGGGCTGCACATTGGTGGTGGTGGAAGGGAGTCCCCATTACCTGTAAAGCGCTTTGAGTGGAGTGTCCAGAAAAGCGCTATATAAGTGTAAGCAATTATTATTATTATTATTTAACAATCCTCCTCTTAAGAAAATCAATATTTTATTAGCACTGTTATTTACCTTTCTATAACTCTGACCATTCTAGAGCTTAAAGCATGCTGACCAGAAAAGAAGCTGCAGGCAAAGTCTGACGTTTTCATTTGTCTGATGACAACTGGGAAAATTAACAGTGCTTGATGAACAAGCCTTTTTTGCAAAAGAATATAAAGTGAGCGGTTATTTTAAAGGAAAAACAAAATATCAGATGTTTCCTATAATGCAGACAAGGATGGTACTGTGTAGATCCAAGTGTACACGTCGGTAGAATTTCATTTCATAAACACCAAAGGAACTCAGCGTTGGGAATTAGTGTTGATCTAAAATGACCAAAATGAGATTAAGAATCTGTATAAATAGCCCTTCAGAAAGAGATGCCTTTCATTAACACAAAAGCAGTCACAGATGTGACCATGGTCTGCACAGTCCTACTATTTGGCAGGACTGAAGCCAGCCTGCGTGTGATAATATGGATGTTCAGCCTCAACTTTCGGCAAGCTAGTCCAGAGAAATCCGGAAACTGGCTCTGTGTGGTACAGGCCACGTCCTGCGACGCAGTCTCCACACTGGCCCTCTGATGCAGGTTAAGGGAAGCCTTACTGCACAGCATTACACGTGTTTGAGCCAACAGCTGTTCTGTTTCTTCAAGCCCGGCCCACAAAAACATTTTTGCATCTTCCCGACACCAGCACCTAACATTGACACGAGAAAATGTTGTTCATTCCCTTTGGCAAGTACAGTACTACTCGGCCCCAGTCCCTGTTCTTGAACATTTTGGACTTGATTCTTATTTGAGCGGGTGTGGGATTGGGGCAATCAATCAAACGTGGTGTCAGTGTGGGCAACCGGAGTGACAGGTGGAGTGCCTGAGCTTGGTGTATTTCCCTGTGCTTTAAATCCCGGGAGAATAAAAGAGCATTGTCATCAGAAATGGAACCATCTTGGGGGGGCTGAATGGCCGACTTGGGTGCTGAGAAAAAGCCTCTGTCTGGATCGCTGCCACCTTGGTACACTAAAGGATTCAAATACAAATCAAAGCTTTACTTGTGTTTTCTAATACAGCCTCTATAGGGATCACGTTTGATATGTCTTTTTTAATCTGCCCACTGCCTGCCTATTAATTATTAGTAATAAAACAGTGCAAGGGATCACAAACATTAGCATCTCTTTAACTAAATAAATTGATTTTGACATTAGACACAGGCTGCTGGTTTCACCACCTTATCGCGGATATTGTCTTAGACCAAGCACTGTCTCTGATGTGAACTTGCATTGATATAGTTTATATCTAAAATAAGTTTGTGGTGCCAGTCAATAGATTCTAAACTTATCAATGAAACTGGGATATTTTGGTGATATGTTTAAATCATTCTTTACATCACTGGCCAGTTGTGTTAGAGAGCCTGTTTTACTTCACATTTTGCTGCTGTTTTTAGAATTATGCCATGTGACCCTCTTGATATTAAAACAGCAAAGTTGTAAAGCAGCTGAAAGATGATGGGATGGGTGTGGAGGGTTTCTCTTTCTGACTGGATGAAAGGTGAAAGGTTTTAACTTTTGCTAACCATCATGTGACACCTCAACACATGCATTCACCTCCCGTCCAACTGCTCTCTCTTCTCTAACTGCTTTGACGAGATTTAAGCTGTGGTCTGTGACTTCAATTAAAATACCTTTAGAAAGGACCCTTCAGAATACTGGGAGATCTTAAAAAATCGAAATAAGCATGTAATTGCTCTCACTTAAAAAAAATGAACTTTTTTATAGCACCGGCCTTATCTTGCTTTGCTGTGGGTTCATACTGTAAAAATATCTTGAGAATTAAAACAAATTTGAATGTCTGTTTTTTGCATGCATTTTTAACTGGTCTTTGAATATTCTGAATGTGGAAAAAATCATGAGCTGAAAATATGGAAAACCAGTTTGTCTATGTGTGTATGTGTCATAACTTTTTAGTCTTGGACATGGAATACTACGAAAGTGCCTGATAGAAGTATTCAAAATCATTGAAGGCATTGAACTCAGCCCAGTGGACTTCCTCCGAATGAACGGTGAATCATGAACTGGAGGACCCAAGTGGAAACTATCATAAAGTACACTTACTGTGAAACTGGAAACAAGGGGCAATTCTTTACCCAGAGGGTTGTGGGAGTATGGAAAAATACCAGCCAAACAGATAACCCTGGCAGCTGGGTGTGAGATAATCAAATAGCCCATAACTACCAACTAGGGCTGGATGGGCTGAGTGGCCCCCTCTCATTTAAAACCTTTCTTCTGTTCTCATTATTTGGTATTATTTTTCATTATTGTTTTCAAACTTTGTCTTTTATGGACCTGGTGTCTCTCCTGAGGCAAACTACATCAGTGCAATTTTCCAGGTATTGCGTAAAATGATCTCCATCAGGAGACGTTGGCTCTAGTCTTCATGTTCCAGAGTCCTGCTGGTGTTCATTTTAGCTTTAAATCTAATGGTTTAATCCCTCTAATTACTTGGATTATAAATCATATCACCAGTTTTTAAGGGCTATTACTTTCTCTAAAAGTACCTAAAAAAAATCCTGGTGTTCATAATTCTTTTTCTCTAGTATTCTTAAGATTCTGTGCATAATTTTTATTTAAGGATGGATCTGTGTGGCTCAGTTTTATTTTTTTCGTGATTTACACTGGGGGGAAAAACTGATGTTGTCTTTCCCCGGTCCGGTAGGGTCGATCTGTGCTCATGTTTCTGTTCCCTTTGTTTACCAAGCTTGCGTCAGAGAGAGGAGAGAATCTGAAAGAAGAAAAGGACCTCAGTCCTCTTTTTGCAAAATCCCAGGACAGAAAATTCCCATTATTGTAAAAACCCGTTGCACATGAGAATGTTTGAAATATCGAAATGGGCAAAAAAACAAACCGTATGTCAGATTTAACTGTTTCTTTTATCTGCTCTGTGAGGTTGCTCAAAGGTATGGCCACTTGTTTTCTCCTCAGATTAAAAGCTCTTTATAATGCAAATGCATTTAGCACACTATGGCCTGTTTCCCAAGGCTGGCCACAATGACAGCGTGGGGAATCGGGACTTGTGCAGGCAGCCAGTTTGCCCATTTACAAGCCATTCTGTAGGCCTCTGATGCTGCCCTGCATATTTCATGAAACAGCAGTGCAGCAGGTTTAAACTGTGCTGCTCAATTAGCAAAACTGGTTCATGTGAATATTCTACACTTTAATTGAAGTTACAGAGCCCTGAAAGTTGACATGATTTTGTTAGCCCAATCACATCCTGAGTAACTTTAAATCCTTCCCTTTCTCCTTTTTTAAACTCATCATCTTTTCAAAACATGCAAATATCCTAAAACAGGCTTTGGCTTTCTTGCTGGTGAGAAGGATTTTTGTCAAACTTGTCATGAGCCAAGGCATTAAAATGTTAGTTTTCCCTGTGAAGACCTATTGTAATCACATACCCCATGAGATGACATCAAGGGGTGCAAAATTTTAAATATCAAAAACCACCGTTAAAGAAGGTAGTATCTGTTGCTATTTTTTAGTGCAGATACAGGGGTAAGAAAAAAATCTATAAGGTATCTTTGACAATTATTTAAATGCAAACATCCTAAAACTAAGAAAAATAATGTAGGTCAAGTCAAGTTTGGGTATTGAAGAATTTATTAAATGAAATTCCAAGTACAAAGTTCAAAGGGCTGGAATAAATGTTTGTCATAACTTTTCAGACACACTCCAGACATTGTAATTGCCCAAAGGAAACTCTGCGTCAGAGGGTGTCCAAGTGAACAGTTAATTTACCACAGAGAGCAGTGACTTCGCCAACTCAGAATTAAGGGACATGCACTGCAGGTGTTTAGCAATGCTAGAGGCAGGATTTACTAAACTGCATGCTATAGGACTGTGTCTTTTTCGCCGGATCTACCTTGATGGAGTTTTGAATTTACAAGTCCATGTATCATGTTTAAAATAATGGGCAGATTTTGCTTTAAAAATTAGGTCAAATATTCTATTGGCTTTGAATTCCCTCTTAGATCTGTGGGATGGATACAAGCAGATTTGAACAACGAAGGCTGCCACTGTCCATGGAAAACAGGCTCTTTGCTAAAGCCCCCTGCTGCCTTACAAAGACGGTTGCTTAATGCAGTACTTGCTAGAAGCTCTCCCTTCAACAAAGGCAAAGCTACTGCAGGAATTAATTAAACCAGAAAAAAAGAGAATGCAAATACAGTATATTGAATATTTTTAAACTCACCGATCTGTGAAGTTGGTCTGTATTTGTTAGATGGCTCACTCTGAGCTTCATAATAGATTTTAAAGTTTGCTGTAGTTTTTATAAAGTTCAAATTTAGTGTTTAATGGCTCCCTCTGTTGGATTATGAGCAGATATGGACATGGATGTATCAGTACTGAGAAAAACTGACAGAACAGTTATGCTTTTTGTTTATTATTGGCATGTTTTGAAAACCAAAGTTGAGTTCAACAACAAAATAAGCTCTTGGGTAGCATGAGGCATCACGTTTGAAGTTTATGAAGTTTATGATTATGAAGTAATACACATGTACAGTATATACATACAGTGTATGTACATTGTGTTGCAGAACTATTCAGACTTGAAGTTTTCACATTTTTATTGCTTTAAAAATTGCAGCCGTGACACTTTGAAGCAGCAATTTTATTTTCTTACATACATAACCTACTACCTACCTAAGTCATTACTGTGTAAATATTCAAATCCTTTCTTTTTTTTAAACCTAAATAAATGTAGGTGTACAAAATTGCCTTACGCAAACATACAATTAATAGAGTAGCCTCACTGAAAAGCATTAAAGATCAGGATCAGGAGCAAAAAAAGATTGGCTGGATAATAAAAAAAAAAACAACTAAATGAGTACATTCTGCTCTTTCGTCAGACAGTGGAAGATGCATCATACCAGCCAGACACAGATCAGGAGAAGGGTATAGAAATATTTCAGAGATCCTTAATATTGCTTTGAGCATAGTAAAGCTGATCATAGAGGATACCCAGTCACTGCCTAGATCTCGCTGTCCCTCCACACTGAGCAGCAAGGCAAGAAAACTGGAGAGGAAGGGCTCTCCAAGGCCAACAGAGCTCCAGACTTCAGCGGGTGGGGTCAACCATATCCTGGTCACTACACAGATATTTGGTTTGCAACAAAAGTGCACAAGTGATCCTGCAAATATGTGGCAAAAGGGTTTGTGGAAGAACAAGACAAAACTGGAACTGATTCGATTAAATACAAAGCGCTACATCTGACCCAAGCCCAGCGTAGTGCATCGCTCAGTCAGTATCCTTCCTGTTGTCGGGCGGCTGTAGTTCTGCTTTTCATCTTCACGGACCAGAAAACTGGCCAAGACTGATGGGACCAAAAATGAAGCAAAAGACTGGCAAATCCTAGAAGAAAATCCTAAAACGACCTAAAACGGGGACAAAAATTCACCTTTCAGCAGGACAGAGTACAAGGCCAAAGCTACAGTGGAGTGGAGCGGTTTAAGAAGAACAAAGACCACGTTCTTGAGTGGCCCACTCAAGGTCCTGACTTGAGTACTACAGAGAACCTGTAGAAAACTGGTGTATATATACTGTATGTCTCCCCTTGGCAACTTGAGGGAGTTTAAGGAAATCTACCTCAAAGAAGAATGGCCAGAATGTGCACTAAGTCAACGTGTACAGTTAGTAGAGACGTACCCAAAAAGACCTGAAGCTGTAATTGCTGCCAAATGTGCTTCAGTTCATACAGTAGGTCTGTAGACATGCATAATCAACACATTTCATTATTTTCTTCAGTTTTTGCATTTTTAAGTTAACATTTTAATTTTGCAAAGGGATTTTTCACAACAAGTAAACTTTTAGACCCCTAAAAAGATCAAATGTGAACTGACCACTGAGGCTTTTGTAATTGTTCCTCCTCCAGCGATCTCAATGTCATTTCTCGATCGCTGATCGGCCTCACTAAGTAAACCAGCAGAGCACAGCTGTTTACCTGGATCTCTTTCACTAGACATTCATTATTTTACAAAATGGCTCTTTTATGCGACATTGAGATATGATTAGAAAATTACAACTTTAGCCAGAACATAAAGATTAGCATACGGTATGATTTGCTATTGAACATGAATATAATGCATAATATAAAATCTGAAACATAATATAAAACGGATATAAAAAAGAAAGAAGACATATTTAACGGAAATATTTTAGACACAAAAATAACTGGGCACGAAAAACGTGTTTGTGATTCATCGTTTGGGCCAGATGTGTCTCACCCAGGGTTTGAGGGACCAGTGGATTGCAGGCCCAGCCTTGTGATTTCTCAGACGGGATGTGAAGTCATAGAGTATGGACTGTCAAAGGCGCTGTAAAAACATTTCTGAACAAACACACTCTGTTGTAATCCCTTCCACCCACGCTGCGACTTCTTGACAAGCTTATCGGCCTTCACCAGTCAAGACATCTGCTTAACCCAGGCTTTCTTCTGTATAATTATTTTTATAGTATCGGAAAAGGTCAAAAAGAGAGAAAGTAAGTTGGGCTACTTGGGTAACAGGCAGGGTTCGGGGGCCTTGTGCTGCTAACGTTTTTGGTTAATTATTATTCAGATGCTCTTTTTTCATTTAGACGTTCACTTTTAAATTTATACTGGGTACGATTTAAGTCTGACGAAACCTGGTATTTTTAGGATTTGTTAGGGTGGGTTTTGTTTGCAGTTTACCATTACAAATTTGGCCATTTTCTGAGACAAGGGGGGGGGGACATGACATGATGTTTACATTGGTTGTAATACGAACAGAGACTAGGCATGTACATGGCATTTTTATTCAAAGACTCTTGTAAAGACTAGGCATGCAAACTACCCCATCTGCTGCTGCTGCTGTAGACTCATTTACAAACAGGACCTTAATTTTATACCGCGCGTGTCATTCAAGAAGATTAAATAACTCGCAGAGTGGCACACCGAAAAAGGCTCAATGCGAAGCTACCGAAGGGTTTGAAATAGGAACCTTCTGTTCACAAGACATTTGCCTTCACTACTAGACCAATTAGAATTAGGCTCGTTTTAAAGCAGGATATCAACAGTAGTTTAATTCTGCAGCTCTGCTGTGGAATTAATGCGGGAGCATGGTCTCCAACAAGAGCCTGCAAGCAATGTACTGTAATTGCCTGAAATTTCACTTGGCAAGCAATCCACTCTCTTCTTTCCTTTCTAACCACACACGCAAGGAAGGACTGGTACCAGTCTGAACACAACAGCATGACCTTCAACGCAACTAACCCTTTCAATACCACTGACTGGACCCTTAGAACAGGTTGCTATGGAAGCCTACCATTTCTCAGTCCAGCTGCCCACTGCAGAATTAAAGGCAGTTGGTACAATCTAGAGATCAATCTTGTGTCAGACCAGTAGAGGGGGCTAGACTCTTCAGAAGCGAAAATACAGCCGTACAATTCCTTTTGAGCTGTTTCCTTTTTGCTGCAATAAAGCTGTAGTGCTGTATGGTGACAGCATAATTAATATATGCTGTGATGCAACAAGCAGAGTGAACCAGAGCTGTAGTCGGGTTGTACAGTAAAGTCCTACTTAGCTGACTTCCATGTTTTTTTTTTCCCTATCATTTTGAATTCCAATCCCCGCTCAGCACACATTGGTACACTCTTTCTCTGAGACGTTTAGAGATACGCTGCAGCTTTTTTGCTGTTCAGTTTTTAGAGATGGTAGAAAAGGAATTTCAACAAGTCTTTATTAGCACAGGTTGTTTATTAACACCTGAGATACTGTAGGTCAGAAGTCAGTTTGGACGTGCTTCTGAAATGGGTTACAGCATAATCAAAATTACTGGGCCTGAATGATTGTAATTGGTATTTGGTGTTACAAAATGCAGCCTTATGTACTGTACAGTACATGCATGACCACAGTGGTGGAAAGTAACTAATCACAAGTAATTAATTAGATTGCAAATTTGTAATCTATTACAATTGCTCACATTACAATCAGTAATATAATCACAGGTATTATACACAATTTCAAAAATGAAAGTACGAGAAAAAAGCTTTTGGTTACAGTATTCTTGTAACCAAGACTAGTTGCGTGACATTTAGTAATTCTCAAGTTTTCAGCTTTATCACATTATTACTAATAGCTGGAACTTAAGTGTACAGGTTCCTGTATATACTGTAGATATTTTTACATTCTACATGTATGTATCTCAAACAAACTAAAAAAAATATCTGTGCTGTTGTATGTACACTAGCACATACTAATAAAATGTCCTCTCGTTAGCAAAAATAATCTAGAACACATGGAAAAGTTTGAGAATGTCGTAATTCTGTGGTTACATCTGCTGCTAGACCTATGCATGGTATATATAAACTAGTCATTGTTACTAAGCAAGCTTCATTTGTTCCAAAAAAAAAAACAAGTGAAAAACAGTTAAATATACATCCCTTTTCATGATGTTCATGTGAGTTTTTGACTAGGAAGTGATCTTGTTTCACGTATTATTTATTATCAGGAATTTGATGCAATGGAAGAAAAGTGCAGGTTCTGCTCCCACAGTCTATACAGAATGGTAAATGGGAGTCATTGCTGAAGCTGAGCAAGCCTAGTGACCTCACAGGGCTCTCAGAGTGGTCTAGCCAGCAGCCCGGTATAAAATCTGCCAGCCAGATGTTTCTTCGTCACAGTAAGCTGCTGTACAGCTTCCAAACACAGGCAGTAAAATACTGAGAGATAAAGGGAATGTTCGCGTTCAGGCTCATCTGGGTCATTTGTTTCATCTTGGAGGAAACTCATGAATGGGGTTTCAAGAACGGAGTACTGCACAACTCAATATGGCTCGGTGAGTTGTTTCTATTTCAGGTTTGAGGGGTCTCTGAAGATGGGGTGCCTGTATTCTTCCTTCTCTTAAAATGCTTCACCATCTGATAATCGTGCTGTTTTAGAATCATGACCTGAAAATACAATAATTAAGTTCATTAGCTACGGACTAATTTATTACAGGTACTGTATCGGTCTTATTTTTTACCCCAAACTGCTATCTTACATAATCTACAAATCTCAGCTAAAAGATTAAATAGAACAACACACATTTTATAATCGATAGTTTTGTTTCTTGTAAATTGTCCTATTATTTTTCAGTGTGACCAAAAGAATGTATAGTGTATAGACTGTCAGGACAGTCCAGATATTTGGAAAAACGCAACTAGCTTAGAAGTTCTCAATAATATTCATTTTGGAAAATGCTTGCTTGGCATTACAAGCGGGATGTTTCACATTTCAGCTGTTGATTTGGGTTTTTTTTAGAGTATAACAAGCCCCTTGTAATGAGAAAGTGGTGTTCATCAACCAACGCTAGAAAGTTACACTTTTTTCTCTTTTCTTCCTTGACCATTGTGCAACATTAATAAATACCAAGAACAAAAGTACAAGCATGTACGGTAAGACAGTATATGGTTAAAATAAATGCTCTGTTGTTAGTTTAATAGGGATCAGAACATCAAATACTGTGCTGTACAAATAGTGTGAGGGGATTGTTTCCTTCAGAGGTAAACTATGATTTCCAAACCAGTCCTGGCTGGAAACATTAAGGTCACAGTTGTTTGTTTGGTATCCCTTTGAAAGGTTTTAACAGAAGGACATAACGGCAAGAAGAAGAAACGAGAAAACCCCCATTCCTTGTTTTTCCGTTTATATCGTGCACTGACTAGTCTTTTCTGATTATTTTAGCACGTGTGGCTCTGGCCCTGGACAGCACACCTCAGTTGTCTGTTGTGAAAAGAGCAAACCAACAAGCATTTTGCTGGAATTGGAAGGTTGCTCAATGGAGTTCATGTGAACACACATGCTTAGAAAATCTAGAGGCAAAAAACAGCCCCACTTGCATCATGACAATCGACCAGGTTCCTGTAATTTGATACTGTCACACATTGCAATTTCATGGCCCCACTGCTCAGAGGGGCACACTGCCAGAAGTTAATTAAGTGTGAAGAATGGCATCTTGCCTAATTGGTCAAGCGCCTGAAGGGTTATGCTTATGTAATGTCAAAACAAGCAGAAACAAACATACACTCTATAAAAGGCCCAGCGTGTGACAGATCCCAGATCTACAACAGCGGTTTTGTACAAATTAAGCATTCCGAGAGAAACAAGGTGGGCCAGGGGTGAGCACAGAGGTGTGTCCACAGTTTTGTGGGTCTCATTAAAGCAGCAGCACCTGAAGACCCAGGAGAGACTGTGAAATCAGTCCAGTTCAGCCAGTGACCAGCTCGTCTAGCTCATGAAGAGCTGGGTTGGAATGAAAATCTGCAGACTTTCTGGTCCCCCAGGATCAGGACTGGACAACTCAGGGGTAGACGGTACAGCAAATGTGATTCCACTGCACCTTCTGGCTTACAGCACTGGTAGAAACCCATTGGCTGGACTGGTACTGATAGCTGACAGAACACCTCAGCGTTTATGTCCTGGTTGAAAGGGTTTCCCTTACAGGAAACTGGTTAATGAATTTAATTTTCTACGGCCTTCCCCTGACTTCCTTTTCACTTTCCTCCTCTTGAAACATTTTTGTTGTCTGCGCAGAGCAAGCAGCAGGAGTCTATCACCGAGAATCACGCAAAGGGAAGTATCAGCTCACTTATAAGGAAGCAAAGGCCGTGTGCAAGTTTGAAGGTGGGAACCTGGCTTCATATGAACAGCTGGAGGCAGCTCGCAAAATAGGTCAGTCTCTCACCGAAAACTGCATGAGCTGTACAGTATTTTCATGAGAAACCTAATTCATTTCTTTAATGACTGATGGGGATATCACTTACAGGTATAAGCAAAGCAGATACATATGAAGAAACCAGAAATACTGTAAAACTTATTAATACTGTTATTGTAAAATAACATGCCTTTTGAGGGTTTAATTGACTATTTTGAGTTCTCATAGTTTACTTAAGCTGGGAAAGCATAGCTGTGACCCTGATTGCAAAGCAATGATAATGTATTTACTTCTTTATTATCTAGAAAGTGAACAAGGAACACAGTTTCATCTACCAAAAACTCTTGTTCATAGCTAATTTACCCTAAATTGTAACGACCCACAGAATTGACATCAGGACCTTCATCAATTTGTTTTATAAAAGATAAATTCTTTATAATGATATATTTTAATCCTATTATTTAATTATATATATTATATATGCAGTATGATATAAAGAATAATCCCTTCTAAAATCCTGTTTAATTTTACTATAAAGCACGTCAAGCAGTTAAAGTTAATTGGAAGACCAGTTTTGTCCTATTGTAATTACTGAATGATACCTCTGTCCAAAATACCACTACTTTCCAGAACATGTCCCCCAAGGCATCTGGTTTCAATTATTCTTCCTGGCAGAGAGTGGCTCTCAAATTGTAATAGCAGTTGGAAATTAACTTAGAGTCTTTATGTGTTGTCCTTCTTGAGGAGACTGAAAGGCAAGTCAGCTGGTACAGTAATTTTTTTCCGTGCTGAAAAGAGAAGAAAGAAAACACAACGTTTCGGCTATGGAGCCTTCTCCACAGCTGAAACGTTGTGTTTTCTTTCTTCTGTTTTCAGCACGGAATAAACCTGTTACTTGTTCCTTTTCAGCCTACACATGCTGACACAGCTGCCCACCTGAACCACAGTAATTTCTTCGTCTAGTTCTGTTGAAAGACCTGAACTAGACAATAAAAGACGTTGTCCAATGTAAAAGATGAACTTATGAACTTCAATAGATTTTAATTACTGCCAGATGTAACAGCCGTCAGATAGTCAGCTAACCTCTTATAGCTTTATTCAGCTAAGCAAGCTGTGTAGAATTGTCATCTGGGTTGCAGTAACAGACCTGGGGCGCGCACGTCTTCTGGATTGTGTCTTCTGCCTCACTCAGGCTTCCACGTGTGCGCAGCTGGATGGTTTGATAAAGCAAGAGTGGGCTACCCCATCGTGAAGGCTGGTACCAACTGCGGCTTCGGAAAAGTCGGCATCATCGATTATGGCTACCGGCTCAACAAAAGCGAGAAATGGGATGTCTACTGCTACAACCCGACGGGTCAGTGAGAGATGAGCATCATGCTTGCGTTTAAGGGATGTAAATGCCACTTCTTCCTCTGGTGCCTTCCTTGTTGGTCAGATAAATCACTTCCATATGGAGTGCAGGCAAGTAAAAGGAGTCACAGTGATGGGAGATAGTGAGCACTGCTGCATCACAGCTTTTGGCTCCTGGGTTTGTATTCATTCGGGCCCATGCCAGCTTCAGGAGTTTGGTCAAACCCCAGTGGAGATGGTGAAGCATTGCCATTTGGATAGTTAGCTTTATTGGGGTATGTTGCCTGTCTGAGGAAAATAAACCAAGGAGGAAGAATGGGTGGAGGGAGGGGTGTGGAAACAAACCAAGAGGACTGTTATGTAAACAAGAAGAGGTGGCTGAGATTACGGTGTGACCTCAAGTTTTCAAGTTCATTTTAGTACAGAGTATATGCTTCATATCGTTATTGTCTCAATTCGACTTGCAGACAGAACTGCAACCTTACCATAAGGATGAGATCATTCAAAATACCCTTCATTTTCCAAAAGATGAGCCAAGGGGCTCCAAAGCCAAGATACCTATACTTTTATGAGAATGGAAGTGGCTGAGATTAGGGTATGACCTCCTCATGAATTTTCATTCAAAACTCCATAAAGTTTCAGAAAGGGTATTCAACCTCCAAGCATTTGCTAAGTCACTACTTATTTATATACTTATATACTTGTACTTAGGGTCCACTGTAATTTCTAAAGGCTATATGAACACATTGAAAGTTGCCTTCCACAGATGATGGTTTTTTTAAAGATGCTAATGAAAGCCATTTCTGACAAAGCATTTGACCGAAATTAATAATATAGAAAAGAATTGGCTTTAAGTTTCAGTTGTTCATTCAAATGAATGAGGATGGAAATTACATAATGTTACATGAGTCAGCTCATGATTAACGTTATTACCTGGACACCTTGTTCATTGCTCTTGCACAATTTAACCTTCGCTATCCACTTTTGTGCTGTCTATTGCTAGATTTCTGGAAGACTGTTTTATAATCTGAAATGAAATAAGTACTGATTTTATATTATTTTAAGACTACTGTTTATCTCCTTTCTCATTGCACAAATACCTCTGTATACAGTATCCACACCAAGTTCCTTGTTAATGGCCTGTTATTCTTTGAACAGATGGTTCATGTCACATCATCCTATTGAGGCCCTTGTATTGTTTCTGACATTCATGTAAAAATAAAAAGCAAGTATTTTCTGATGGATTTAAATGAAATAACACAAAAACACACACAGTGTGGCTTGGTTTCAGCTGCGAGTTGCTCTGTTCACAATGGTTCACTTCATGTTATTCGGCAACTCCAAAATCATACTGATTAAAATACAAAAGTTCTTCTGTTGGCAGCCAATTTTTGAATTTTTGAAGTATAAATTTCATGACCAGTTGCCTTTGTTTTCAGTTCCTACCCTGCCAAAAACACATATCTTTAACACCACAAAGATTTTACTTCTTTGCTGCCAAATACTGAAGCAATTCCTCCTTTGCTTTTTGTTCCTGTCACTAGCTCCAATTCACATTGTACAGCTCTCCGCTACATCTGATGTGTGTTTCTTTAAGTTCCCCTCCTCTGGAGGCAAACCTTTAAACTGTTCTTTTAAAATAAAAAAAAAAACATTTGTGAGCGAGACCTGCTTGCCGCTGATTGGAGGTGGAACTCCGAGCTGTTCAAATTTGGAGTCTCGCTTTTGTTGCTTTCTAATTGATGATACATCTACCTCACATGTTTGTAGTTTCGTTAGGCATGTCTAATGAATGTTTTTGTGGTTTTTCTTGTTACCTTAAAAAGCAAAACAGTGTGGAGGTATCTTGACGGAGCAGAGGAGAATTATACAGTCTCCTGGTTATCCAGATGAATATGAAGATAAGCAGATATGCTACTGGCACATCAGAGTGGGCTATGGCCAGAAGATAGTGCTGAAATTCCTTGACTTTGATGTGGAGGATGACCTTGCCTGTCTAGCAGATTATCTGGAAGTCTACGACAGCTATGATGATGTATCTGGCTTCGCAGGAAGGTAGTACCAAAGTAATCCCTTTAGTATTCACAATTTTCACTTTTGAGATTGCTGGAGTCCAGTCCAGTCTGTATCCCACCATGCGCCTGTTACTTGCCAAGACAGGCTCTGGCTCCCCACAGCAGTGAAGTGGGTGAAGCGCTTAGAGAATGGATGGATGGATTCTTAATTGAGGCTTGCATGAAAGATCGGAAATCATTTAAGAAAGATTATATAGTGCAAAAGTAATGGAAGAAAAAATTGAACATCTTGTGCAAGGTCTGTATTTTTAGCAATTTTAAGATACATAAGATTATTTTATGTAAAAAAAACATCAGCGCCTAAAAATGTATTTCATTATAATGAGGGAAACGTTTTCAAATTAGATTTTTTTTAACAACATAAACAGCATGTCTTGTAGTGCTAACATCAAACTCATAATTAAAAAGGATATGGGTAAGAGATGCTATGTAAAACAACATTTACATGTACGGTATATAGAACTGGAATTTACTGTTATTTTTCAGGTTCTGTGGAGATGAATTACCAAACGACATCATTAGTACAGGTAAACATTTTAACTCTTGTCTTGAAGAACTAAAGTACCGAGAATTAAAACTATGAAAAAATACAGCTAACACTTCTCTTCTCTGTCACTGAGTGATGGACTACACAATGTCAAAGTGTCTGGAGTGGGTTTCTTTCAGTATAGTATGATTCCAAAGTGAAGGGAAAAGAGGGAAAAGTCTAGACTAGGTAGTTGTAACTTTCAAAGCTAAACCATGCACAGAGGTCTAAGACATACCACTTGATTTTTAAATATTACCTATACTTAATCTCAATCATTTCCTTACAACTCTTTATAATAGCTATTTTATACAACAGGGCAGACAGTCTCTGAAACATGGCCCCAGTGAATGAGTGCAGCCAGTTCAGGAGTTTAATCTTTTAGGTTTTTTATTTATAAGGGCTTTCTAAGCAGCTGACATGACCACTTACTGCATTACCCTGTTATTGTATTTTATTTTGAAGTCTCACACAGTAAAGCCAAATGTTCATGAGTTAAATTAAATATCTGTACTGTGACACATATTATATACCCATTTTTATCACTGTGTCTCAATGAGTAATATGTTTTTTCTCTTCTTAATTTTTAAAGAAATAAACACTGAAGAGTTTTTTTTAATAATATGCAAAATAGGTTTTTTCTTAAACAATTGGTGTTATAAGCATATTTTACAAGATAAATATACTGTAATGCAAAGTTAGTATAATTACTGTCTCAAAATCATCAAAGGGTCATACTTGATAAAGATGGTATGGTTGTGATGGCCTGTTGTTTTTTTTCTTTTAAAGGAAATGTGATGACGCTGAAGTTCTTGTCCGATTCATCTGTCACAGCAGGAGGCTTCAGACTTGAATATGTGACAGTGGACACACCATCTTCCTTTGGCAACAACTCTTATAGTTAAAGACAAAAGAATGATCATGTAGGGTCGTCTGTGTTACCAAGAAACAAGATTGAAAAATGCATTTTTAAAATATACTTTTTGCAAGACTGTATAACAAGCATTAAATGCATAATTTAGTTATGCACCCTGACCCTTAAGAAAAATTATTATATTTTTGTAAGATGCCCAGATAAGGTTTTATAATTGAATACTGTTCCATCTAATTTTCTTTCACAATTTACTGAAACGGATTAAAATTTTTTTCAACCTTTTGTCTTCAAGTAATCAAATGCTTTGTTTCCGATCTTTGTGTACAAGACTCTTACAATTATCTCTGTCAAATCCAAAGCTGAACACGTACACTGTACCTGGGGTGTAACTGTTTCCACTGAAGCTCTCCAGCTGGGTACAGGCAGGAGAGCTGTGTAGGTAGGCCTAGGGCAGCCACTGGTGAACACAAAGCAACATTTAAATTCAGACCCCCTAGACAGGGAGTTTGCATCAGATTTTTAAAAAGACAGCATGAAAGAGATGGTGTAATTTCTTGATCTTGGGCTATTATGAAATGTTTATCTTGGTTTTTATTTCTCTACTTGACTGAAAAAGGTTGAGGTAGTCATGCAGCAATACAATAATGCCATAAAATCATCTGTACAAAAGATATTGCTTAGGCATTATATGGTTTTTTCTACTAAAAGTTAGATGCAGAATGTGGGATTATAGCTTTTCACTCTTATTTTTTTATCAATATATTGTTGTTAAGCAATCATTTTGTATTTTTATGGGGATGTTTTCCTCTGTGTTATGCTACAGTATGTTCTTATTTCAAAGTGTCCAAAAAAGCCAAAATATTGGAAATTTGTTATCAACAGAACAGAACGATGATCTGATTTTTGCCTTTGTCGCACATTGATGAGATTTGCATTATTTTCCTTATTGATGGTAATAGCTGTTAGCACTGAAGCTTCCACATGACTTTGCTACAGCTGGCTGCACAACCTGTGCCAGCAAAAGACAGTCCCTAGTGAGAAAAAGCTTTAATCTCCGTAGGGCACCTCCAGAGCAATGGCTACTAATTAGAAAATGCGTAATGGTGCCAAGAAAGTTTAACCGACAATTTCACAATTACTTCTAATCTGAGTTGAGAGCATACAATCTGAAAACTTCTCGAGCCTCACTTAGACCCTTTGAAAAATGAAAGTGTAGTGAAACACAGTTTTTTTTTCAATTCTTATTCATCCAAGAAATAAAACCTTGAGAAAGAGTGGTCACATTCACCATATGTATACAACTTATACTGTATAACACCCGGGCGTGATCAATGTCACAGCCTCGTCGTGCAAATTAAAATAAACAAACTACTCTGCTGATAGGGGTGTTTCAGTATCCAAGAGGCCATCCCCTCATCCCACCATTATAGGAAAACCACTTATTCCTGGTGAGGAACAAAACCATGAGCCCCTGCTGGAAGGATGAGAGGCAGGGTGACGCACTGGGTGGGATGCCAGCCCATGGCGAGAGACACACAGGCATGCAGGGAAAACAAGCTGCCAGTTTGAATAGCTTGAATGCTTTAGGGAAGTTGAAGGAGCACCCCGATAAAACACGGTCGGGAGAGGGGAAACATAGAAACTCGGCATCGAGGGTGTGCCGGGCCAGAACCGAACACTCCAGGACACAGGAGCTGTGAGTCAGCGGCAAGCTATACTGTACCACTGTCCCACCAGTGCTCAAGATTCACTCTGTCAACACGTCTGTGGGAGCCTGTTGTGTTTTGAAGCAGCCCCTGGGGCTCGGTCTGCCTGTGACTCCTATGCCTTCAGCCAGGTGGCGCTCCTCCAGGAATGCAGCACTGCCTGGAACCATGCTGATTCCTAGAGTTTGGGCTGCCACATGTGGTCTGAGCATCACCTTTGTTGAGACAAACCAAATGCTTCAATACTTTTCTTCTGCGGCTCCCCCTAGAGCCTAAACACTGCACTACACTCTTCTGTTCAGGGTGTCTCGAGAAGAGGAGCCTCTGCATTTCAAATTATTAATAATAATAATAATTGCTTACACTTATATAGCGCTTTTCTGGACACTCCACTCAAAGCGCTTTACAGGTAATGGGGACTCCCATCCATCACCACCAATGTGCAGCATCCACCTGGATGATGTGACGGCAGCCATAGTGCGCCAGAACACTCCCCACAAATCAACTATCAGTGGGGAGGAGAGCAGAGTGATGAAGCCAGTTCATAGAGGGGGATTATTAGGAGGCCATGATTGGTTAGGGCCAATGGGGAAATTATTGGGGTCACTTGGTAGTTTTCTCAGAATTAAGAGGGCAATCACATGTGCAGAATACAAAGAGACAAACATTTTATTCAAGGTTAATGTCAGTACAGGTCAGTCTTAAATGCTGTACATTCGAAAAGCAGAAATATTTAAATGAATAATGCAATGGAGGCTAAAATAAATAATGGAAGAGTTATTTCGGTACTACAACAGCAAAAGAAACATTAAGGATAAAGTTAAATCTATCTGGGATATCGAAGAGAATCTTGGCTGATGTATCCAATGGTTATTTCACTGGGGTGTTAATCAGAGAAGAAATCAACAACATGCCTCAGGCTGTGGAAGGACAAAGTTGTGTATTACTATTATTGAATAACAGGAAGAAACAGAAACAAAGAAGATTAACAAATATCCAGGGCCTCATGATATTCTACCACTTGTGCTTAAGAAATTGACATCCTACTCGTATACTAAAAAATCGAAATAGTCACTAAAAGCGGAGGTAATTCACACAGGCTGGAAAATGTAGTGCCACTCATAAAAAGAATGACAATTCTGAAGCAAGAGTTTAATAACTTGTAAAGGTTATGAAAACAACAATTAGAGGATCACCTATATGTTAATAAGATGTAGGTAATAAAAACATGAATTGTAGATAGAAAATAGTAGCCACTGAAATCGAAGAGACTATGTCACTCACTCAACCAATCAAGCTTAGTCCTATATAGCATCTCTGAATCCAGAGCATCACCAATGCACCTTACATACATTATACATACAAAAAAGTACGCTAAACAAAAAATACAATAAAACCCTGTCTAAAAAAAATAAAAAGACCATGAATTGAAGGGCATTGAATACGAGTACGTTTTGCAGTGAGATTTAAAATCATCAGCAGAGGGTGCATTTTTAATACGGACAGGAAGAGTATTCCAAAGATGAGGGGCAGCTGCTGAAAAGGCTCTTTTCCCTAACGTTCAATTTGGAACGTAGGGTGTGAAGGGACAGTAAGTTTAAGGTGCCCATGGTGAAAGACCATGCAGCACCTAGTGGGTCAAGAAGAGAATTTTAAAGTCTATCCTGTAAGACGCTGGTAGCCAGTACTGGTTTGGGGGCACAGGGGAAATATTCAGATTTTTTAGACTTGGTCAGCACTGGAGCAGGATTCTGGACACGCTGTAGTTTCTGAAGTACTGTCTTGGATGATTCAGCTAGCAAAGGCTAGGCCAGTAGTCTAACCTTCTGGAGAGAAGAGAATTAACTGTTTTCTCTGTATTAAGATGAGTAATTGGGCTTAAATGGGATATTCTACTGAAAAAGACTTAGCTATTGATGTTATTTACATATTCTAGACCATGGGGATCCAATAAAAAGCTATTTAAATGTTAGTAAAAAAAAACAGAATTTAGATCAAGTTATTTTATGTTAAAATTATACAATGCCTCATTTACAATATTGTATATAATTTTAGTTACCGCAATGCAAAAATATATTTTCATAATGTGGTGACTAAAATTATATGGCCAGAGAAGTCAACCATATACATTCCCATGCTTAAAGAAATGTCCTGTACCGCCAGGCTAAAAGAGCAAATCTTTTCAGTGCTGACCACAGAACACTATGAGATTCAAGAAATCACAATCCTCAAAGGCACTAAGTCAACTAAGTGAACTTATTCAAAATCAACACTGAAACGCAAACCAGGAGACACAGGTGGAAACTATACGGAAGTATACTTATTGTTGTGGGAGTGTGGAACAAACTGTCCTCTTATAAGAAACTGCAAAAAACATAAGAAATGAGACAGGTCTTATGGACCTCTAAGTTATTACCTTTGCAATATGAATAAAACGCCGTTTTCACTCAGTACATCTGTGACGGCCAGCCACGTCTCCATTACAGTACTTAAACTATTTAACACAGGAGAAAGATGTCAACTTTCTATCGCTGTCAATACGTCCGACAGCAAGCAGAAACGTGCCTTGAAACAGAACGGTCCTTTTCAGTCATTCATATTCATTTTGCTTATGCATTATTAATTAGATGGCCGAGTTCACACGGCCTGGGGCGGAGAAAGAATCAAACAAGTGTGCGCCTTTAAAAAAAAAAAACAACAACCCTCTTTTCCAACTCTCGGTATCAACAGGCTCTTTCACACTATCCGGTGGTTTAGGTTGTGACAGTAGGTAAAAGCTCTCGGGAAGCGTTTGGGTGCATCCTGTTTGGCTAGTCAGACAGCGGCATTTTGACTGTGGTCTAGCTGTCCGGGATATACACCGCCACCACAGGAGTTGCAATGCGCTATCGGTAATTAATATCGCTACAGTATTTCCACCGCGTGTGTGCGTGTCCGCCGCAGTCTTCGCCAGGGGGCGGGGCTGCGGGACGTGGGGTGAAAGGTGAGGGGTCCGCCGGCGTGCGCTGTGGAGTTTGGCGCCAGCGTTTTCGCGGGGAGGTCAGGAGGAAAAAAAAAAAACAGAAAAAGTCTGATGCCTACGTGTGTTGTATAGGAGTCTTTTTTAAAGCCGAGATATTGAGGAACTTTATTTTTTTAATCCTTCATGGTGTATTTCATATTTTGTCGGCACGTTTACGTCGGAATAGCTGAGGTAAGGAAGTTGTGTCTGTGTGTGTGTGTGTCTATGTGTGTGTTTTTTTTTGTAATGGTTTGGTTGCAGTTTTTAAATGGCGATGCACAGAGCTGATCAAACCGTTACGGGGATTTTATTCTTTAGCGTCTGGCGAATTTTTTTTTTTTTTTAAAAAAAGCATCGACTTCAGCGTTGTGAGTTGAATTTCCTCGTGTGAAAGTAATGCCCGTCTGATGACCACATCACGATTCCTGCCCGGACTGACAGTTTTGTGTCTCAGTTATAATTTGTTGCTGCGATTATTTTTTTCTCCCCCCCATTTGGGAGTGAAGGTTGTGTTGCGATTTTCACTTGCAAAAGTTGAAATGTTACAGTGTAGAGCTGGACCCGTCGATGAAGGCACATACACGTTTCTCGTGTTCTGTCACGTTTTTAATGCCAGCTTTTTATTATTCCGTAAAAAATGGATCTAAAAATGGCTCTAGCATTCAGCATTATTATTATTGTTGTTGTTTTGGAAAATATCAGTGGTGCATTGATGTTATGTTACTTTTTTCTATTTACTATGCAAACATTCTTATCTAAGAACGGCGAAATGCTTATCAGTGTGTAGAGAATGTATCTTAATTAACTTGGAAAGAATTACAGCTTTTCATATGAGGTGACGATGATAGTCAATGATAGCTAACGCAGTAATCCACTTTAAACAAACGGGAATTTCAGCAGGCGAACCTGCAGGGCCCAGTAATTTATTGGCCTGAAACAGAATTGGATTTCGCATTAGATTGGAGATTGTAGCCCAGAAAGCATGTCTTCTGCTTTACTCAAGGTTTTGCTGTCACTTGTGCTGTAAATGACAGAGCTTTGATGGATCTCTCTTCTCTCTGGAGTCCTGTGATCTGCCAGAAAGAAACAGGGCATCAAGGTTTTGTTTTGGCTGTACAGAATGTTGCCTGATTTTATTTTTGTCTTCCCCACAGCAGTATCGCTCGATGGCTTTTATGGGTCTGACATTCAAGAGAAAAAGCTCTGCATTGCAGGAAAACTGCGTGTACCTTCTTCATAAGAACACAAAATGTACAAAGAGAGAAGGCCATTTGGCTAGTCTACCTTGTTTTTGCTTTTGCAGCTAATTGATCCCAGCTGATATCTCTGCAGACTTATTTGGGTTGGACTGAGGTGAATTGAAAGAGCTCAGACGTATCATTTCCATTTATTGGGTTTTGTGTCGTGCCCAGTTCCTCTCAGAGAGGCTAGGCTGGACAGTACTGTGAATTTCATAAACGGCTTGAAATATACACACTTTGCCAGATCTGCTGGAGCTTACCTCTTAATTGATAATGGTTCGCTGGGCAGTGTCACGTCTTTTATTTTTTCTGTTTGGGTTTTTGGTTGGCCTGATGTGGCGGCAGATGTGTTAATGATGCCCCGTTGATCTTTGTTTGACAGCGAGCGAGGTGCTACAAGGATGATGGCAACCGTTCACCCCAATAGCTCCAGCCTGATCCCCCTGCTCGAGTGCTTGGAGGATTCCTCTGTCCCTCCGACAGAACAGACGGACGCCTACCTGACGATTGCGAAGTAGGTGCTGAGACCCTTGTGGGGAAGAGGAAATAGAAAATGTTTTGTGCTTGACCGTTCGTTGCTAGCCATCACGTTTAAAATGACTGACACTGCTAATCGTCAGTCATCATCCCGCTAAGGAGTATAGTGTCATGATGCAGTGGAAGACAGTGTTTAACTTGTTGCAAGTCCGGAGATGTTCCGCTGCTTATGTGGCTGAATTTTTTAGAACTGTGCTGGCAAAGACGCACGGCTGTTAGACCCAGATAATCAGTGGGGTGGGTGTGCTGGTTTTAGGGTTTTGTAAAGAACAGTCACATTTTCATTGAGCCTTGTTTTAACACCGTTGGTTCATTTACCTTTTTCTGGATGTAAAAGACTTTATTAAGTATGCGTTTAAGAGCAGGATTCTACTTTGCACACTCGTAGAAACCTGTTGAGCTCCAAATCCAGACTCTTTTGTTTTCCTTGCAGCCGTCTCAGTGGAGAAGATGGACGACAGTTTATTCCTGCAGTTTTAAAAGACGTTTCACGGCTTAGTGAGGTATTAAAGGTGAGAATTTTCTTCAGCTGTATGGATGCACAGAGCACAGACCCTTGAGCCAGGTTCTGGCAGTAACTGTTCAGACAGTGTAGTCTGTTTTAAGCCTGACAAGGTGTGCTACATCATGGCTGAAAATATTTGATTAAAAAAAATTCTGTTTCTTTAAACATAAGTGTATTATGGCCTTTTCCTGATAAAACATTAAAAAAGGTCCTGTACCCTCGTACAACATTACACAAATTATTTAATATTTCAGTAGGAAGGGCCCAGGGCAAGTCTGTCTGGCTTCATTCTTTGGTTTTAAATAGCTGAATACAGTAATCCCTTTTTATACGAGCTTAATTCACTCATAAGGTGAAAACTCATGTAGCAAATGTAATTCCCATTACGTCATTAAATTATAATCTCCCATTGGTCCCACAACTCAAAAACATTCCCTTAAACACCTAAACTTCACCTTAAATACAGAACAGTAGCTAAGTATGGAAACTTACTTTCCTGGTCACTTATGAGTAACATGCATAAAGTCATTAGCCGATGCATAAACAATAGGTAGGAAAACAACACTCCTGCTCATTTACGATACAGTAGTTAATCTTTTTAGTTGTTAGCAAATGCATAAACATTAGGTACAATCCTGTACTATATGCACTTAACGCACAGAACCTTTTCTTATTAAAAAAAAAAGGTTCAAATGTAATATAAAAGATAAACTCCCCATTAAATTAGATGCTCTTGGCAATGCTTTACAATAGCCCAGTTCCTAAGAGTGAAAATCTGTTTGCTGAATGAAAAATCAGGTAGGAAGTACAGCATCTCGTATAAACAAAAACCTGTATAAGGGTCGCTCTTACTCTTGTTAGGTTTTCTGTCGCACCATTTCAAAAGCACTTACAAAGTCAGTCAGTTTAGCATGGAAGATCAGGTGGCTAGTAAATTAGCTGTACCGGTTTCTCAAATGATGTGTGTGCAAACGTGCGCGCTCTTTTTCTCTCTCTTGAAAGGGGCACATTTTGAGTCGGAATACGGAGCTCTGCCAAGCAGCGCTGCAGGCTTTGGGTTACTGTGTGTTTCACAGCAGCGTCGTCTCTGGCATCCCAGGTACCCGCCCCGCCGCGGCCGAGATCTCGCCACACGCGGTCGGGCATCGCCTTTCTCAGTGAACCTGCGGCCACTTTCATACAGCCCTTTGTGCAAACTGTTGAATCACTTCTTGTTCTTCCCTGGATATGTTTTTAAGTGTACTCATGTGATGGTTTTTTTTTTTGCAGAAAGCAAAGCCGAAGAACTGCTTTTGGCTCTCAACACTATCGCTATCAAATCGGCCGATAAGAACATATGCACGAGAGCGCTTTGGGTGATTTCGAAGCAGAACTTCTCGCCTGAACTAATTGGCCAAAAGGTGGGTGTCAGATGTGCTGAGCCGAGACGAGTGTTGTCGGGATTTACCGCGCTCGCGTGCGGATTGACACCGAAACATAGAATTGAATCGCCTGGCTGATCCCCTCGGTGATTCGAGCTGCAGAGGCTCAGGCGTAAAGATTTGAGCACCATTCCTGGTGCTGCTAGTTCGAACCCGTGCTGTGCCATTTGACAAGTCCAAACTAGGACTCCCCAAGCTGTGGTTCAGTGTCACTGGGGTTGAGTGGAGGTCTCAGCCAGAGGTGTGCCTCTTCATATCAAGCCCTGGGACATGATGGGCACCTGTGAGCTTGTGCTGGCATGACTAGTAAGTTTTGTTAAGAACATTTTTTATTCTTACACGAAATACTGCTATTTACACTTTTCAGTTTAGAAACTGCTATCACTGTACTTGACAGTTTTCACTTGAGTTTTCAGAAGCCACTATTTGTCTCCATTTCTCCATTTGCTCAGGTGATTTCTTTGAGCTTAGGGATCTCTTCCTTCTCCTTACTTCCATGTTGGAGTGTAGTGTAGATAGAGTTCATATCATTTCCAGATGACGAAACAATAAGTCCTTACCTCAACCTCAACAATAAGTCAGTTTGTGACCACAAGCTGAGATGATTACATTTTGGAAATTCAAGTTCTTTGGATCTTAAAATAAGAATTATTGGCAGTGTCCAATTTTTGTTTTACAAGGATGTTATAGCTTAGCAGGTGGAGTCTTCTCAGGACTGTGCACTCATCTGTAATATTAGTGTTAACGTTGAACTGCTTTGTAACCTGTCTGTCCTGAAGGGCCTTGGTTATATTCAGAAGAGCTACAAATGTTTTACAGGATTTATATTGATCAGTAGTGAATTGTAGCAACTCTTTCTTTACTTCTAAATGGCTTTTAAAAACGTTATTGAAAATTTAAAAGGCTTGTTAATATTAGGTATTCATTTTTATGCTTTTTGTGTTGTTGTTGGAAATTAATTTCTTGGGATTCTCAACTATTTTCAGTAAGCGGTTGAACAGTGAAAGCCTGACTGTTCAAGAGCAAATCTTGAGCTGTAAGAGTTCCTGTCACTGTAAATGAGATCAAGGTGAACACGCATAGGCGTTTTGAAGTACAGGATGATCATACAGGTACTTTTTTTTTTGCTCCACAGGTGCCTGAAATTCTAAAAACGCTAGAAGCAGTGCGAGCCAGGGAAGACATACAGTCTGCTGTAGTGGAACATGAAGCTCTGAACGTTATTATAAGGTAAAAATCCGTCTGATGTCTTACCCCACTAATTGCTCAAAAGCAGATATTCAGCAAAAAGGCTAATTGGTTTGCAAATATTTCTGAATTTCACCTGAGCTTTTAGTCCCTCTTCTGTTGGCTCCATTTTAGTATGTCCTGTATTTGTTACATCTGTGCACAGGTGTGTGGACAGCTCTGCTGCAGGAGTACACTGTGCTTCGTGCTCAGTCTGTTGGCTAAGGAGCGATGCCAAGCAGAGCCAGTCCTGTTTGACCCTTGGGCATCACAGGCTTTCTCTCGGTTGCAGGCTGCTGGAGCAGGCTCCTGTTCAGATGGGCGAGGGCGCGGTCAGGTGGGCCAAGCTGGTCGTTCCCCTAGTGGTCCACTCGGCGTCCAAGGTGCGCCTGCGGGCGGCGGCCGCCCTGGAGATGGGCATGCCGCTTCTGGTCGAGAAGCAGCAGGAGGTGGCTGCCATTGCAGAGCCCCTCATGGCCAGCGTGAGTACCAGCGAGGCGATTACAGTGGTCTGTGTGCTGCAGCAGGGGGAGGTGTTAGTCTGGGGGGAGCCCAGGTCATGTGCCTAGTGCTGGGTCCAGAAAATAAAACACAGCCAGAAGAATACAAGAGGTGATAAGGAAAGGGAGACTTTTCGGTCCATCTTGCCTGTCTGGAAATCGATCTGAGGATCTCATCCAGTCGTCTCTTGAAATAAGCCAGGTTGTTGTCCAGATAGCTTGTTGCATGCTCCCAAAACCTGGGTCAAGAAGTGCCTTCTGTTTCCAGTTTTAAATGTACTTTTGCATAGTTTCTGCCGTGTCCCCCTGGTTTGTGTTTCTTTCCTCATTCTGTGAGGGTTTTGAATGCTTGTATCAGGACTGGACTGACTCCAGAGCTGTGGTATATTTTCTATAATGTGGGAACTAAAACTGCACAGTATTCTAAGCTAGGGTTATACTTGCTAGTGTGTTATACAGTTGGTTTACATTCCCCACCTTTAATTGCTGTATATATCCCAAAAACAAGATCTTTCTTAGCCTGTTTTACCCCCGTATTGTATTTTGATGTATTGCAGATGTTAATATTAACATACATCCTTTATTTATAGCCTCTTATAGCTCAGCATTTCTCATGCTGTATTTATCTTTACTAGCAGCACGCAAAATCTTGCAGTTGTTGATGGTGTTGTCTGCTGGGTGTGTGTCTAGTCTTGAATTTTATGAAAAACCTTTGGAATTTCATTTACAGCTGCTACACATTTGATTTGATCCACAACCTTGCTTAGTTGACTAACTGTTCAGGAATCTAGGTTATTGATGCAAATTAAGAGTAGCTGTAGAGTACAGATTCCTGCTCCACATTCATACTCCGTTAATTATATTACCACCGTTTGAGTATTCACCCCTTATCTGTACTCCTTAATCAATTTTCAGTCCCAACACACACACCTTGATTTATGGGCTAATTCACAAATGTGGACCTCGGTTATCAGTCATTTCTGAACCCTTTCATCTGAGCATAGTGGCATTTTTTTTCTTCCTTTCTCTTGTATGTGCTTTTATGATGTTTGGTATATGTGTTGTTTCAAACCTTTTTTCATTCTAATTAATGAAAACTAATTTTGGTGAAAAATAAAGCGTTTAAAAATCCCTTCGCGGTGGTAGACTAGTCCTGTTGTTGTTCTGTCATTACCTGTTCCTGAAACAGTTCTTGTTGTGTATCTAGAAGCTGATACCAGAATTGCAGAAATTGTTTCTGTCCAAAAACGAGAGCAACGTGCTGAAGCTCTGGCCCTTATTCGTCAGGTTGCTGGGAAGGGTAAGTTCATGGAATACTACGTAGATGAGATCATTCAAGAGCAGTTTAAACCTTATCCTCTTTCTAACGCTTTGACAACGTATATTTTTAAGAAATGCGATGTACTACCGCAGCGGGCATGCACAGTGATGTGTTCCAAGGTGAAAGGTCACGCTGAACAGCAGCAGGTGTAGACGGTCCGATAGCCTAGTAGGATGTTGCAGGAGTGTATATCTCCAGCTCCTCATGGTAGTAGTGGAACAGGAAGACGGACACGGCTACACAAGGGCTAACTCAGCCGGGAGGGAGGGAATGTGTTTGTGAGTCTGCGTGCTCATGTTGCTCCTCGTGTTCCCGGTCCAGTCTCTGCACCGCGGCGGGCCTTTCATCAACGCCCTCTTGCACCTGGAAGAGCTGGGCTTCCGGAGCAGCTCCCCCGTTGTGAAGAAAATTGCCTTCATTGCCTGGAAAAGCTTGATTGATAACTTCGCCCTGAATCCAGGTCTGTTGGAGATGTTGTTTGGCCTCTGTTTGCAGAACAAACGTGATAACATGACACTTGACAATTACTGAGCCCTCCTGGTGGTATTCAAATGATAAACTGGAAAATGAGAGCAAGAGATTTCCTTTCATTGTTTCTAACCTGCTTTTCTCCTTGTTGACTTGTATCCTCGTTTTGGGTTATCCCTTATGAAGACATCCTGTGCAGTACCAAACGTCTGAAGTTACTGATGCAGCCCCTCAGCTCTATCCAAGTGAAGACTGAAGCTCTGACACTAACTAAACTGGAAGTGTGGTGGTATTTGGTGGTGAAGCTAGGACCACATCTTTCTACTAACTTTGAACAGGTGAGAGTCATTTTTATAGCATGTTTTACTCATCTCTTGGCCCCTGAAGATTGCAACAGATTAATACTGGAGTGCAAGTCTTGCAGGCTAGCTGTTGTCTAGATAAAGGCTACTTCAACAGTGTCTATTACCTCAAATTTCCTTAAACTTGAGCTCACTTTAGTCTGGCGTTTCAGAATGTGGTCACGATTTCTGAAGCCAAAAGGATTGGAATGCAAGTCGTGGCTCCCTGTTTAGTTGAAGTATTGTGAGAGAGGTTATGAATGTGTTCTTGACTTGTTCAATGTTATATTTCGCCTGTCTGTCGTTGTGCTCTGACAAGAATATGTATATATATATATTAAATTGTCATTCTTCTTGTAAGGTGGGGGTTCCTTTGGTCCAGAGCACAATAAGTAGTGACTCCGTTCTGCCGTCTCCTGCAACTCCTGCGAGAAACGCGTCGAACCCCAATAGCACTGTTGGTCAGACGACGCCGAAAACGGGTAATGTGCCAAACTCTGATATTCCCATGGCTCCTGACACCGCCGCCTCGTCAGCGAATCTCATCCTCGGATCTTATCTGGGCAGCCTTTAAGATGGATACATTATTGATCCCATGAGGGAAATTGCAGTGCAACAGCAGCTTAGCGCAGTCGGCACAGCACAGCGTAGCGAAATGATACAACAATACAATACGAACAACGCCGTCGGTAGGGTAAGAGCGCAGCTTTGTGGTGTTTTTCCGGCGTGCCGTCCGTGCCTTGACGGTGCCTCGCCGTGCCTCCCCAGGCCCTCACTCCTTCCCGGGCTCCGCTGCTACCCCCCGGATGACTCTGAGCAGCAGCGTGCACCTGCTGCCGGCTTACCCCTCCATCCAGCTGCTCGGCCTGGAGATGCTGCTGCACTTCCTGCTGGGGCCCGAGGTGCAGGCGGTATCCGCGCAGGAGAGGCTCCAGCTCAGCCTGGGTGAGACGCCGGCCTTGTTTGTGCCTCCCCTCCCCTGCATCGGTCTCAAGTGAACCGAACAGGCCTGGTTCAGGTCTGGTTGGTGAAAAGGAGTCCTGAGAGATGCACTGATAGAAGGAAGATGTGTGTGTGCGTGTGGGCGTGTAGTTTGGTGGCAACATTGTGTATCCATTACAGGACTGGCTTACCTTAGGATGCCAGGCCTTTGTGTCCCATATGCTTTTCACTTATTTGGGTAATTTGTCAATACTGGTTTGTATTCTTGATTCAGCTGGATATTTTTGGCAACTCCCAGTGTGTGCATAATAATTGTTCATGGACATATTTGCTGCTTTATCCAAGAATGACTGAATCTCTATAAGTCTTTGTAACTTTTTTTTTTCAGAACCTCTAACGCATCCACTACTTGCCAGCACTTCGTTTTTCTGCAAGCATTCAGGTGTAATCATCAGCGCTGTGAAGGATGGCTTTGTTGCAATTGGAAAGGAGGCTCCAGGTCAGCTCTGTCTCGAACTTGAATCAGTTTTGTTCCAGCAGCAGTAAAACACGTTTGTATTTGCCAGCCAGATTGCAAGGTTTTGCAAAACATCAGGTTTTCCATTTCATCAGTGGTTTTTGCCAAAGCTGACAAACATTTGTAACCATTCTTTCTCTGCCCATTGTATCTCTTGTAATGAAATCCATTGCTTTAGGACTACAAACTATATTAGTTTTCTTAATCAGGTCTTTGCTGAACTGTTTTTTGTCTGTTTTTCATACAGATTCCTTGCTCATTCTTATCTGGAAGTATTTGATTGGATTTGTGACAGCAGCAGTGGAGACAGGTAGGCATTTTTCTCCTTTAGCAATCACTGCAGTTAACAAGTGGGTCGTTAGCTGGGCAGATAAGCTTGAATAAAGTAACTTCAGTATCTAATGAAACCGGTTTCCTGAGGTCAGGAGTTTCGCAGAGTTGTTCCAACACTAAAACCACTGTGATAATAATGTTCAGCTGTCTTGTAAGAGTCTTGCATTGTTCTGTTTATGTGTCATAGTCATGGTGATTGATCCTGCTGTTTTAATTAGTGATAACAGAATATCTTCTCCTCGCAATTCAACAGCTGTGTAAACTAAAATATATTTGGGGGAAAGCTGTTCGGATCTTGCCGTCACATCAGTGCAGGAAATGTATGAAATAGGTCAAAAGCCCTTCTCTCATTATACTTCGTACCAAAGCAGGTAAAGGTTACTAATTTGCACCTCAATATAAAGTCGACTCCTCTTTTTAATAAAGGCAGTATTGCTGTTTAAGTACCTTTTTCCTGAAAGCTGCATATGCAGTCCAGTCTTCGCAATGTAAAGCTTGCTGTAGGCAGTAATGGCTTCCTGCTGAATCCCCGAATTTGCGATTGCAGCCGGCAGTAAGAAGGAGAGACAAGGCTCGGAGGCTTTGACCCTGCTGTTGCAAGCCCTGCAGTCTATCGTGAGCTCAGAAGCACTTCCTGCTCATCGAACCCTGGTAAGACCGTGTTTCACCTTGTTCTCACTTCTCCGACGCTTGGTGGAAACCCGTGTAACGCCTGACATTGTACAGCATTAGCCAAACAGGCTGATGGAAGTGAAGCATGTTTTAGTATTAACGCTGGTTATGCATTTCTTTCACGTTGAAAGCAGGCTTCAGGAAGCTTTGGGGTTTGGTTGTTTGTAGTGTAAATGCAGACACGTGCTGGTAGCTGTTTAATTTGAGGTATTGAGATTGCAGCTGTGATGTACTGTACTTCTTGTTTCCTCTCAGGGTCTTCTTGAAGCCACAGTGAAAGGAATCCCTCAGAAAATATTGGGGTCACCAGCCTACCAGGTAGCCAATATGGATGTTTTAAATGTAAGTGTTTCTGAACCGATATATAATGTAAGTATTTTAGTAGTAGTAGTAGTTGCACATGGATTGCTACCGTATATTACAAAATAATCTAGGAGTAATGAACAAAACACCCAGCCTTGTTGTTGAGGTCGTTATGTTTCAAGAAACATGATGTGATCCTTGGATCAATTGTTTCTATTACCTGGGCTAGATGGGCCGAATGACTTTGTGACTGTCACGTTCCTTTGAACGTTTGAATATTTTTGATTGCATAAGGTCATGACTGCACTGAGTGAATACTGCTTGAAGTATACTATACAGTGCATGCACTTGGGATTTTGCCAATGCAGTAGTGTAGGTTTTACTCAAGTGAGTTGGAATTGTCTGAATTGAATGCGTGTGTACGCCCCTCCACGAAGCTAACATTCATCACTCCTGAATACAGCTGCATGCAACTGACACTAAGGAGGGCACTGGAACCTGTTTTCTCTTCTGACCGCTATAAAGCTGCAATCTGGTGTCTTGTAAACTGAGTTTAGAGCAGTGTAGTGTATTGCTGGAGGAAATGAAAGCTATAGTGATAATTTTTTTTCCCATTTTGCACCCGACTTAATCATTAATAATTAAGCATGCTTAAAGGAATTGTCTTCCCTTTCTTAGGGAACTCCTGCACTGTTCCTGATTCTCCTGTTCTATCACAACAGCTTGCTAGGATCCTGCTTAACAGATGAGAGGTGGGGTTTCATTTTAAATTTATCCATCTTGACTGCTTTTGTTTGTGATTAATTTTAAAAAAAGCAGAATAAAACATTATCGCAGCTAATATCCCCTCCAAGTTCACCTGTTTAATATTTTTAAAGCTACTTATTGTTAGAAACAAAAGGGACACATCCACATAAAGTTATTTGAAATGTTGGATAGGGTTTTGTTGACTTTGTAGATGAAGTATTGATGGACGGTCTTGTAGTAGTTATCTCTAAATGTAAAGATCTGAATGAACACATTCACTGTAGAGAAAGTGGTCAAACTTAAAATTATTTGGAAGTGTGATTTTGTTTTGCATTTATATTTGGCGCCTTATTCTCGGTTGTCACACTGGAATCAAAATCATGGCTCTTCCAATCTCAGCATTAAATGATTTTCATCCAGAATGACCTCCTACAGCAAAATCTTTCCCAGTCAAGATACTCGCTTTCTGCGTGCCCAGTTGTCAGTGTTGTCTCGTCTGAAAATGTTATTTAAAGGGCTAATTAAGACTTCTGGCCCCTTTTGGTATATGACTGTCCACATTTTGACTTGGATGACGCCATTTCTATTCTCTGTCTTCAGGTTTTTCCTCTGCTTGGAGACCCTGGTCAGCTCTGGTTTCTCTGGCCCCACGTCTCCACTGGCGTTCAGCGAATCGGTTTTGAGCGTGGTCCACCGCAGTGCCGATCGGATGACTAACAAAGAGCATCTCTGGAGGATGTGGAGCATCATAGTCACCCCTCTGACTCAAAGCATCATGCAGGTAAGGACTTCAGGCTGTTGGTGTGTTGGCAGAATGCTTGGTCACACTGGTCCATGTTCCAGATTCACACATCCTAGATTTTCATTTCTTCAGATTCCTTTGTTGCAGGGATGAATGTGAAAAAGAATATTCTCGTACCTGTTTTTTTCCTTCTCTGGCTTCTCAACAGAAATATACTAAAAGTAAAATTGCACCCTAATCAGAAGTGTCAGTTAGTCTTTGAATCTGTAAGGATGAAAGTCAATAAAAACATTCCAAAATGCAGTGTTATTTTAACAATTCAACGCTGTATAATTAAGAATGTATGAGCAAAAAAAGAAGTATTTATAATAGCAGACTTCAGCTTTGCCAACATCAGTATTCTGTAACTGTTACGTAATTAATGGAACGTTTACGGCTATACTTTGCATGTATTTTAATAAACTAGAATGCTTTCCAACATCTTCTGAACCAAGAGGATGGTTGGTTTCTAATCAAGGCGGTATCACTGTGATTCTGGCCTTAGACCAATGAAGTGAACCAAGGGGATGCTCTGGAACACAACTTCACTGCTGTGCACAGTGCCCTGATGCTGCCCATCACTCATCTCCTGTCTGTGAAGGGATTCCCACAGGTACGTGAGAGGACTGTGAAGCTGGGGTGGTTTTGTTTTTCTTCTCCCATGTCACATGACGCACCCTGATCACGATCATCATCATCGTCGTTATTGTTGAACTTCAGTTCCGGTTTCGAAACCATTTTGTTGCCTCCAAATCATGAAGAGCATTCTTTATTTTTATTTTTTTCAGTAGTGCACTGTTACGTAAACAGCAGTACTGTGCCCTCTCTGAGTCACTTGTAGTGTTTAATGTTGTGCACTGAGCAGGTTTTCTTCTGTGCTCTTCTCCCATGCCACACGGTCAGTTTGAAGTGGCGACTGCTACTTATCCAGAAGCAGAACTGGAGCCCCACAGTGGTGCTTTAATTTCATTGCCGTAAACGTGTTCCTTAGATGACGATGAAATCCCTGTTGCGGACCTGGTCTGAGCTCTACAGGACGTTTGCTCGCTGCTCGGCTCTGGTGGCCACGGTGGAGGAGAATGTCTGCTGCGAGGAGCTTTGCATTAAGATGGCGTCAGGGCTGGACAAAGAGGCTCTTTCGGTGAGTGTCAGAACATGACAGCTGGCAGTGACCAGAACGGTCATCCTCCCGCATGAAGACTGTTCAAGGACCTCCCGACCAAAAGTTGAGAACTGATTAAGAAAGGTGACGAAAGGATGTCGTGCAGGTAAACAGACCAGGAAGGCTAGCAAATTATTTATCTCTAGAAGCTTAATGATCGCGGTTCACTTTCCTGGCAGAAGAACCGCAGAACTAGCAACGGCATCTCATTTACTGGTGTAGTAAAACTTGGCTTAACCCACTTGGCTGAGGGCCGACCTCCAGGCCAGAGGACGAGGAGGCTGGGACCCCCCTGCAGAGGGAGGAGTGACCCAGGGGCAGCTGCAGAGGTGGAGGTGGGATGCAGAAAGGCATACGTGAGGGAGAGAAGGGGATCAATTATAGAATTTATCTTGTCTTAGGTGAGGAAATGATCTTGGGAGTGATTGTGAGTCTCTGATTGAACTTGGCTGTCTTTATCCCTCCCGAGCTTTCGTTATACTAGTGTAAAATATTATATCCAGTGTGGATTAATGTGGGATTGAAAGGCAGAGCAATTACCTTTAGGTGTGTGTGTTTGAATGAAAAACAGCAGATCGAACACCTAGAGACATTAACGCAAGGATAGAACTGAAACTGAGTGATGCTGCTTACAGTGGCTCCAAGGAAAACTCACAATGAAAAGGCTTGTAAGAAAAAGTCTGCAAAAATGGTGTTCGTGTTTTTTTTTGTTATATTTCAGAACCCGTCGACGCTGGAAGCGGTCGTTAGCATTTTAACGGTCATTATCGAATGCGTGGACTTCTCGCCTTACACCCCCAAGTTTCAACAGAA